GGAGGACACTCGAGCCCAGGAGACCAGCCTCTGCAACATACCGGGACCCCATCTCTACAAAAAAATTGCTTTTTTAAGTTAGGCATGATGACACGCACCTGTAGTCCCAGCTACTCGAGAGACTGAGGCGGGAGGATCACTTGAGCCCAGAAGGTTAAAGCTACAGTAAGCCGTGGTCGCACCACTGCACTCCACCCTGGGTGACAGAGCGAGGCTCTGTCTCAAACATAGAAAACCCTATGTGGTAGGAGACAAGGGAGGCCAGCCACAGGGTGTAAGGTGGCAGTCCTTCAGCTTACTTACATGTTAGAATTACGTGATAGACTTTAAACAATACCAAATAGCAGCCAGGCACAGTGGCTTACACCTGTAATCCCAGCAGTTTGAGAGGCTGAGACAGGAAGATTGCTTGAACCCAGGTGGTCGGGGCTGCAGTGAGCTGTGTTTGCACTACTGCACTCCAGCCTGGGTGACAGAGCAAGACCCTCTCAAAAAAACAAAAACGAAAACAAACAAAAACAGTGCCCAGGTCTCACCCACTGAGGTTCTGTTTTAACTGGTCTGAGTTGCAGGCTGGGCATCAGAATGGTTAACAGATCCCTCTGGCATGAGGCCTCTTAGGCCGTACTCATCAGCTTGACACTCCTAATGGGGCGGGGTGCATGTGAGTAAAGCCTGGGCTCAGGCCTGGTCCTCAGGAAGGATTCGGGGGGCTGGTGAGGGGTGTGTTTTCTCCAGTGGTCTGATCTGAGCTCTTTGTGGCTTCCCAGGCAGCAAACACCTGCTCTGAGTGGCCATGGGGAAGCGATACTTCTGTGACTACTGCGACCGCTCCTTCCAGGACAACCTCCACAACCGCAAGAAGCACCTGAACGGGCTGCAGCACCTCAAGGCCAAGAAGGTCTGGTACGACATGTTCCGAGGTGGGTGCCGCTGGCTGGGGGCCGGGCTCCTGGAGCCCTGCTCTCTGATCTTCCTTATCTTCAAAGACCCCCGTGGGTCAGTGACAGTCTGGGTCTGGGCTCTTTGAGGATCAAAAGAGAGGGAGGCCTGGGCCACTGGACCCTCAAAAGAGCAGGCTGGTAGATGAGCTCTTTCCCCAGCAACCCTGACTGAAGGCTCTGTGCTCCAGGCACCTGCCAGGCTCTGTGGACAGGAAGAAGGCCCTAGAAGGAGGTGATGTTTGAGCCAACAGCTGAAATAGGGGAAAGCCAGCCACGTGGTTCTGGGTGGAGGGTGTGCAGAGAAGCAGGCAGCCCTGAGTCCAGCACCAGGGCTCTCGGAGCAGGAAGGAGAGGGTGTGGCTGGGCGGAGCAGGCCAGGGGAGAATGGTAGGGCTCAAGCTGGCTCTGGGACAGGGATCTTCCAAGCCTCTGGAGGCCGTTGTAAGCAGAGGGTGGAGAGGGGGTCCCTGTTCCAAAGGCAGAGAGCAGCCTTTGAAGGGCTTTAGCTGCCGTGCCCAGACCTACCTTGACAGCGCAGACTGCTTCGTGGGGAGCAGTTGGGTGCGGTCAGTGGCAGTTGAATGACTGGCTGCAGGCACGGGTGAATAACCCAGTTGCAGAAGCGGGGCAGGCTTTTCCGAGAAAGGCCTCTCAGCGCAGGAACAGTTGGGGTGAATGAGCTAAGGTCAGAAGTGCCTAGCACAGGGCCCGTTTCCCGGGAGGTGCCCAGAGCGGGGAGTTGTGCTATTGCATGGCTGTCATTGGACGTTCACCCTGAGGAACAGCCAGGGAGGTTCCAGAGCATGACTGGCAGGAGCCAGGTTGAGAGGTGAGGGCACTTAGTGGTGGGGCGAGGGTGGGCCAAGAGCTCCTGGAATGAACCAGAGTGGGGCCAATGCCCTGTAGGTTGGTGAGCAGGATTCTGGGATAGGGCCTCTGAAGAAGGAACCAAATCCAGCAGCCAAGAAGGGAGGAGAAGTGGAGAGAGAGTTCTCTGGTTGGGGCTAGGTGTGGTGGCTTTCACCTGTAATCCTAGCACTTTAGGACACTGAGGTGGGAGGATTGTTTGAGCCCAGGAGTTCAAGAGCAGCCTGGGCAACACTGTGAGACCCTGTCTCAAAACAAAGAGGCCTGAAACTGAGAGTTCACGAACAGGGAATGAGCATGGGTCGAGTGCCTGCTACATGCCGGGTGCTTTTCATAGTTCGCCATTTGCTTTTCTGGGTAACTCTCTAGGGCAGTGATTCTTAACTCTGACTGCAGGTTAGGATCATCTGGAGACCTTTAGGTTAAAACCACTGATTCCCCGACCCCATCCACTCCCCAGAGATAGGTCTGGGGACTAGACATGGTGTTTCTAAAGGCTTCCCAGACTCTCCGCATTTCACATGAGGGAGCTGGGGCTCAGAGGTTCAAGTGAGGGGGTGGCCAGGCCGCTCCGCAGGCCAGGCGTGGCTGTGGTTGGAAAGCCATAGGAAAATTCATGGGCAGTGGGGTCTCCTAGGTCCCTAGGAGGCCTCTAACCCTGGTGTTACGCTAAGACTCTCTCTGTTGTGCAGATCCATTGTGGGCTGTGATCTGGAGGGAGCTGGGCCAAGATCACCTAGTCCCAGATTCTCAGCTGTGAACAGCTGGATCCTGGGATCCAGGGCTGATTGGCAGAGGTCCCTGTGTCACTTATAGAAAAGATGAAGCAGCAGGCGACAGGAGTTCCCCAGGGCTCCTGCGTTCTCAGCGTCCTCACATCCCCAACACATTCAGTCCTTAGAACAGCTCTGTAAGAGGCTGGGCAGGCCAGGCCAGGCATCCCCAGTTACAGGTGATGACTTCAAAATCCAGAGCAGGCCAGGAGCAGTGGCTCACACCTGTAATCCCAGCACTTTGGGAGGCTGAGATGGGAGGATCGCTTGAGTCCAGAAGTTCAAGACCAGCCTGGGCAACATGGTGAAACCCCATCTCTACTAAAAATAAAAAAATTTGGCCAGACTCCGTGGCTCACACCTGTAATCCCAGCACTTTGGGAGGCTGAAGTGGGTGGATCACCTGAGGTCAGGTTGGCCTGGCCAACCTGGTGAAACCCTGTCTCTACTAAAAATATAAACATTAGCCGGGTGTGGTGGTAGGTTCCTGTAATCCCAGCTACTTGGGAGGCTAAGGCAGGAGAATTGCTTGAACCTGGGAGGTGGAGCTTGCAGTGAACTGAGATCACATCACTGTACTCCAGCCTGGGCAAGAGAGCAAGACTCCATCTCTAAATAATAAAAAATAAAAACAAAAATAAAAAAATTAGCCAGGCGTGGTGGCCCATTCCTGTGGTCCCAGTTGCTCAGGAGGCTGAGGTAGGAGGATCACTTGACCCCAAGAGGTAGAGGCTGCAGTGAGCCGAGATCGTACCACTGCACTCCAGCCTCGGCAACAGAGTGGGACCCTGTCTCAAAAAAAATAGTAATAAATGAAATAAAACCCAGAGCAGTGGGTTCCCTCGCCTTGGGTCCCCAGCTACTAGGGGCCGAACTGGAACATGACGTCTTTCCACTTCCTCGGGAGGCTGCCTCAGGGCTTCTGCTCACCCTGAGCAACCGCAGGAACTTGAAGATATGCTTTGTGACTGAACTTGACTTCAGCTCTGCTCCCAGCTTCGCGGCCTGGGGCACATCCCTTAGCCCTCAGAGGGGCTGATGATCTATCTGCCGTGGTCAGGTGCAGGGCACCAGTCCCCAGGTGTCACTCACTAACACTGTGGCTCTCATTTTGTCATACGTAAAACAGCTACAACAGTCCCCACCTCCCAGGGCTATGACAGGGGCTCAGTAACCTCCTGATGACCGCATGGCACATAAGGGCTTACTAAGTAAGTACGGTGCCTGTGGGTCCTCAAAAGGATTCCCTCCAGCCTTCATCTCACGGCTCATTCATTCAGCGTATCCTCGGCTCCCTGCAGGCTCTGAAGATTCAAAGGTGGATAAAATAGGGCCCCTCTCCTTAGCAAGCTTGTGCCCAATGATGATGGTGTGTTCTGGGCAAAGCCCCTGTCCTGCCAGCCTCTCCCTCCCAGCTGCAGCCACCCTGGCCACTGCATCTGCTGGGCATAAGCTGTCCCCTCTGCAGACATGCCCTTCCTGCTGTCCTCCCTGCCCCAAGCCAGGCCCCCCCACCTCAGAACTCAAGTCAGGCAGCAAATCCTCAGGGACATCCTCCCCGACCCCTAGAACGGGTCAGGTCATTTGGCTACACAGTAGATGTTTACCCCGCTTACATCCATGGGGATTAGTGTGACTGTTGGACCAGAAGGAAGGACTAGCTCCGACTTGTCCTCCACTTAAATCCTCAGCCTGGCGTGGTGCCTGGCACACAGGACATGCTCAGTGAATGTTTGGCAGATGAATGTCTAAGTGAATGAGCAAAGAAACATGGGGCACCAGGGGCAGCTGTTAATTCTGGGAGATGAAGCAAGAAGGACCCATAGGGTCAGATCACGAGGGGCCTTGAATACCCATTGCAAGAGCATGGGCTTCCTCGTGCAGGGCCTGGGCCAGGGATTCTCAACCCTGAGTACACTTCAGAGTCACTGAGGAGATTTAAACGATTCTGATGCCCTCCCTTTCAATGAATTAAAGCAGAACCTGGGAGGGCTGGGGCTGGGTGTCCATGTACTTTAAAAACTGCCTGGTGATTCTCATGTGTGGCTGGGGTCAGGAACTACTGAGCAGACGCAGGCAGCCTGGAATACTCCCATGCCAAGCCACCTGAAAGAGCCCCTTGTCCAGGACTCAGGCTCAGCCCTGCTGCCAGCCTCAGCCGTCACAGCCTCAGGGGGGTCCAGGGCAATGTCCACATGCCCTCCACTAGCCTACCCCCTCAGGGAAGGGCGGGCAGTGGTGTCTGTAGCACCAGCTGGGTGCGCTGAGTCTGACAAGCCCAGCACTGACAGATGGACCCTCCCCACCCTGCTGGTCCCCCTGGCATGAGTTCTCTGATAACCAACCCCCTATCCCAGCAAACCACACCCTCACAGCCACCACCTGCCCTTGGCAAATCACTTCCCCTGTCTGAACCTCCATTTTCCCCTCTGCAAAATCGGGATGTTTGCGCTGTTCAGAGGGTTTGTGAGGAAAAAATGAAGAATTGCTACCATTTGCTGTGTACCCACCCCGTCTTGGCCGCATACCTGGAGAACATGGTGCTAAGGCCACTGCTCGCCCCAGAGGCAGACCTGGTCACTTTCCTAGTGATTCTCTTGTGCCACCAGGGTTGGGAACCATGGGCCTCCTCTGCAGAGCACTCGCCATTCATTATCTGATGACATTTTCATAGCAGCCCTGCCAGGTGGGAACTGTCCTCCCATTTGACATATGGGGAAACTGAGACTTGGAGATTATGCAGCTTGCACGTGATCATATGTTGTTAGGATTAGAGCTCAGGTTTCCTGGACTCTGAAGCCTGTGGTGTTTCCTTGGCCTCTAGAAAAGGTGATGGGTGAATGTCCAGCCCAGGCCTGACTGCTCCCCTCCCCTGGGGTGGATATAAGGGCTCCTGAGCCAGGGTACCACCCTCAGGTACCCTACTTCCTTACAGATTTTGACTGATTAATAGCTTGCCTATCAAGAAGCAAATTTAAAACCATAACTATATGATGAAAGTAAAGATAGGCTGGGCACGGTGGCCCATGCCTGTAATCCCAGCACTTTGGGAGGCCAAGTGGGGAGGATCACTTGAGCCCAGGAGTTTGAGACCAGCCTGGGTAACATGGCAAAACCCCATCTCTACAAAAAATTAAAAAATTAGCCAGGCGTGGTGGCGGTCACCTGTAGTCCCAGCTACTTGGGAGGCTGGGAGGGAAGGATCACCTGAGTCCAGGAAGGTCGAGGCTGCAGGGAGCTGAGATAGTGCCGCTGCACTCCAGCCTGGGTGACAGAGTGAGATCTTATCTCAAAAAAAGAAAAGAAAAATAGGAAAAATCAGAGGAAACTAGGGTTAAGGTTAGGATCAGAGTGATTGCCAGTGCTACAGAATGACTGTTGGAAGTCCTGTCCAGGGCGGTGACTGGTCTGGCCCTGAGCACCCTACAGCTGGTGGAAGGAGGGAAGACAGAAGCCAGGGATTGCAGTCTTGCCTGTGGAGCAATGCCTGGATCCTGGGATTAGCCGATGGGCTTCCTGGGCACTAGGATTTATTTAAATTTTTTTACCATTTTATTTTGAAATAATCATAGCTTCACAGGAAGTTGCAAAGATAATAATGAGACGTTCCATAGGGCCAGGATTTTTTTTTTTTTTTTTTTTTGAGACGGAGTCTCGCTGTGTCTCCCGGGCTGGAGTGCAGTGGCGTGATCTCGGCTTACTGCAAGCTCCGCCTCCCGGGTTCACGCCATTCTCCCGCCTCAGCCTCCCAAGTAGCTGAGACTACAGGCGCCCGCCACCACACCCGGCTAGTTTTTTTTTTTTTTTTTTGTATTTTTAGTAGAGACGGGGTTTCACCATGTTAGCCAGGATATCGATCTCCTGACCTCGTGATCCACCCGCCTCGGCCTCCCAAAGTGCTGGGATTACAGGCTTGAGCCACCGCGCCCGGCCCAGGATTTTTTTTAAAGTATTATACCTCCAGGCTGGGCCCAGTGGCTCACACCTGTATTCCCAGCACTTTTGGAGGCCAAAATGGGAGGATCATGTGAGCCCAGGAGTTCAAGACCAGCCTGGGCAACATAATGAGACACAGCTCTACAAAAAGATAGAAAATATTAGCCAGGCATGCTGGTGCAGAGCTGTAGTCCTACCTACTTGGGAGGCTGAGACCGGAGAAGGATTGCTTGAGCCCAGGAGGCAATGGCTGCAGTGAGCCATGATTGCACCACTGCACTCCAGCCTGGGTGACCGAGTGAGACCCTGTCTCTAAAAAACAAAAAACCCGAAGTCCCCAGACTCCTCAGGTGACTCCCTCGTGCCAAGTTGAGAACCTCTGGCATGAAACCTGGTCCTTGCCTTTGGCCAGTCCTGCGTGGGGTGGGAGGGGTTGAGGTCACCTGCAGCTTGGATCCATCTGCCCAGGACTCCCACTTGTGGTCATCTCTTGCTTCCACTCCTCCGCGGATAGGAAACTCTTCTTTTCTGCGCAGCTGTGTCGGGATAGAGAGTCCATGTCCCTGTGGCTTCCACCTCCCGCCTCTCTTGGTAGAGCCTGAACCGTCTGAATCCTGTCCCTCTCTTCTCTCGCAGATGCAGCTGCCATCTTGCTGGATGAGCAGAACAAGCGGCCCTGCAGGAAGTTTCTACTGACAGGTAAAGTGCTCTGCACAGCTCAGGTCCCTGCGGGGACCTGCGATGTCCAACCTGGCCCACTTGGACCTCTGCAGAGTGTCTTCCCCGACCCGGGCCACCATCCCAAGCCCACTTTGCAGCGGTGGTTCCAGCTGACTGGCCAGTCAGGGCCTTCCCAGGTGTTGTGTCTTAGGACCTCCTAGAGACTGGTCCTCAGCTCTTCAGATCTAGAATGTGATTGTATCAGCTCACCTAGAACAAGCAAGCCGTGGGAGATTACAAGTAAATCCAAGAGACACTTACGGGTGGAATAGACTTGTTGATTAAGTTAGCCTGGGAGCCTGGCCTCCTTCCCAGCAGGCAGAACTTCAGAGAGTAACAGGGTTGATGATCTGAGGAAGTTTGGGATCAGAACCAAGGATGCTAGGTGTAGATTTGACTGCTCAATACTTAGCTACTAGAGATGCATATAGGTCAGAGAGATAAAGTGCCAAGCATGGTGGCTCACGCTTGTAATCCTAGTACTTGGGAGGCTGAGGTAGGAGGAATTCTTGAGGCCAGAAGTTTGAGACCAGCCTGGGCAACATAGCAAGACCCCATCTCTACCAAAAAAAAATTTTGTTTTAATTAGCTGGGCGTGGTAGTACACATTGATAGTCCCAGCTACTAGGGAGGTTGAGGCGGGAGAATCTCTTGAGCCCAGGAGTTCAAGGCTGCAGTGAGCTGTGATTGCACCACTGCACTCTCGCCTGGGCAACAGAGTGAGGACCCTGTCTCTTTTAAAAAAAGAGAGAACAAGAGATAAAAACCTCAGTAAGTGAATGAACCAAAGACAGATAAAAATAAGGGTAGGAAAAATAAGATAAAACCAAGAGAATAGTCTCCTCCATGCATGCCCTTGGGGTCCTGTGTATTCTCTAAGGGTTTGACTCTGAGCTTCCTGGCAGCCGTGGCAAAGAGGAAAACTATGATGATTCATATGGTTTGTAAGGGAGCTTAGCACTGGGGAGAGGTGCTTCAGCTGAACTAGGGAAACTGGGTGAATGTCCAAGCTCCCCTAGGATGGACACCAAGCCTGCAGATCAGGGGCTTCCCCACGGACTTTGCCTTGATGTGAGTATGTCACTGGTAGGTTACACTGGCTTGAGACACCTCCAGCCTCCCAGTATCTCGACATACATTTTGTTCTCCTTGGTTGAGAGAGGGGAAGCCACCCCAGATTTTGGTGCCTCCTTGGCAAGGCTGCCACTAAAGCCTTTCTAAGGAGCAGTCCAACTGCTCCGGTGAGCCAGGTAGGCAGGCAGAATACTGGGCTGGGCATAGCACGTGCTGCAGCTTGGAGTGGAGAAAGGAAGCATGGCCCTTTCAGGAACCCATATGTAGTTCACTGAGGCAGGGCTGGGAGGGCTGGTGACAGAGAGGCTGCAGAGGCTTGCAAGGCCCACTCGTAACAGGCTTCAGTTGGAAGTGATCCCCAGCACCGGGGGCAGCTGGAGAAGGGTTGTGAGCATGTGGCATGATGGGTGAGAGGTTGCTCTGACTGCTGAGTGGGCAGGGCCAAAGAGATTCCATTTTCTGTCCAGGATCAGGGTTGCTACTCTTTAGGCCCTGAAGTCCTGACCCTAAGATTCTGGGGCCCCTCACCAGGGCACCCCTCAGCCCCCATGGGGAGCCCCTCCCGAGCAGCAAGTAACTCTGTTTTCCTGCTGCAGGCCAGTGCGACTTTGGCTCCAACTGCAGATTTTCCCACATGTCAGAGCGAGACCTGCAGGAGCTGAGCATCCAGGTGGAGGGTACGTCTCGGGATGCCCTGGGTTAAGCGGGAGTGGGGTGCTAGGGCACGTGGTCTCTGAGACCGGGGAAGCTGGCCTGTGCCTCCCCATCTCCCCGTCATTGGTAGCCAAGGGCTGCCCAGGGTGACGGGGAGCCCTGAGCCCCCGGTTTGGGCCAGGTGTCAGGAACAGCCTCAGCATGAGTGGAGAAGGCAGGCCTGTGTACCCTGACAGGGAGCCCGCGTGGCTTCCTGCCCGGGAGCCCTGAAGGTGCACCTCAGCCCCACCTGGACCCTGTGGCCAGCTCAGCAGTCACTGGCAGATACACCCCATCCCTCCCTCAATCAGGCAGCACACCCAGTCTCCACATGGCACCAAGCAGACCTCTTACGACAGTCTGGGAACAAGGAGTTTAGGAACACACCTTCCCTGCCTTCTGGAGTCTCACAGCCTGGTGATTCCAGGGAGGGGCAAGTTCAGCCTCCATGGAAGCTGACATCTCGCCTTTGGGAAATTCATTCCTCTAGTTGGAGCGAGGCTGAGTGCTGGGCCCTCGTGGACAGAGGGCCTGGAGAAGTGGTCCAGGTGCATCTTTCTGGAAGGTTGCTGCAACTTCCCAGAGCTTGCTCAGGGCCTACCGGTTGCTTCTGCTTTGTGGGAGGGTAGGGTTCCGGCAGGCAGGCGTGTACCCCTCACTTGCCTTTGTCTCCCTGTCCCCACAGAGGAGAGGCGAGCCAGGGAGTGGCTACTAGATGCTCCCGAGCTCCCCGAGGGCCATCTGGAGGACTGGCTGGAGAAGAGAGCCAAGAGGCTGAGCTCAGCCCCAAGCAGCAGGTACAGGTCCCCAGGGTTCCCTCCCCCTGTGCCCTCGGGGGCAACACCCCAGCCCGCCTGCCCCTTCCTGAGGCCCAGGAATCTCCATGAACTGCCCAGGCCCAGGGGCCAAATAAAGATGCCTCCACAGAGCTCTCCGAGGGGCCACGTTGGGTGCTCTGGGGGCCCCAGGCCCTGGCCAGAGACTGAAGGGTGTTTGAAGGAGCCTCTCCTGAGACTGGGCTCCTGTTGGAGTCTGTGCTGGCTGGAGGGGAGGCAGGCGGCTGAGCTGATTGGCTGCACGTCACCAAGTCCATTGCCAGAGGGAGGGGCCTGGGCTGTGGTCACCATGCACTGCTACCCCTAGGGCCTTGCAGAAGGGAAAACAGGCTCACGAGAGGGGTATGACTTGCCCGAGGGCACACAGCTAGGAAAATGTAGAGCCAGGATTGTACAGGGTGTGATGACAAGGTCCTGGTCCCACTGTCTTTCTAAGGAAGGGGGTCTGGTGATGGCTCCAGCCCTCGGGACACTCACAAGTTAAAGGGGAGCTGCTGGGTTGGGGTCCTTGGGGTGTGTGCTTTGTGCTGTCCCTGGTCCTCCTCTTTGAGGGAAAGGACTCAGGTGATATTCACATCAGCAGAATGGGACACAGGGCAGGCAGGGGCATTGCGGCCAAAACCAAAGCCTGAGCTCCTGGGCTCTTCCTCCAGGGACTGAAGCGGGGAGGGAAGGAAAAGGGGATAAAGCTGCACCCAGGAGCCACGTATGACTTTGACACATTTTCCCATCCTGGCCACCTTACTTTCCGCATCTTGCAACGGGGCTTCAGACCTGACAACCTCTGTGGTGTGGCTTCGCAGGATGGTGGTCTGGCCCGGTCTGGGCCGAGGGGGCCTGGCCAGTCTGTAGGGTGAGGCCTTCCCTCAGGGCTCTGCCAAAAGGTGAAGGCCAAACTTCTTGCCTTCTCTGTGCCCCAGTGAAAGAGACTGTGAGGGTGTTTTCTTTCTTTCTTTCTTTCTTTTTTTCTTTTTTTTTTTGAGATGGAGTCTTGCTCTATTGCCCAGGCTGGAGTATAGTGGCATGATCTCAGCTCACTGCAACCTCTGCCTCCCGGGTTCAAGCGATTCTCCCGCCTCAGCCTCCCGAGTAGCTGGGATTAGAGGCACCCACCATCATGCCCGACTGATTTTTGTATTTTTGTAGAGATGGGGTTTCACCATGTTGGCCAGCCTGGTCTTGAACTCCTGACCTCAGGTGATCCGCCCACCTTGGCCTCCCGAAGTGCTGGGATTACAGGCATGAGCCACCACACCTGCCCCCACCTTTTTTTTTTTTTTTTTTTTTTTGAGATGGAGTCTTGCTCTGTCGCCCAGGCTGGAGTGCAGTGGCACGATCTCAGCTCACTGCAATCTCCGCCTCCTGGGTTCAAACATTTCTCACGCCGCAGCCTCCCAAGTAGCTGGGAATATAGGTGCACACCATCATGCCCAGCTAATTTTTGTATTTTTAGTAGAGACGAAGTTTCTCCGTGTTGGCCAGGCTGGTCTCGAACTCCTGACCTCAGGTGATCCACCTGCCTCAGCCTCTCAAAGTGCTGGGATTACAGGCATGAGCCACTGCACCCGGCCAGTAAAGGTGTTTTAAAACTAACTTTCTCTTTTACTTTTATTTTAAATCTGTGTTCAGTTTTTGTCTCCCCACCTTAAAAGTATATATGATACACACATGACTCAAACGTTGGAGTGTGACATTCTCTCCTCCTGGTCCTATCTGAAGGGTCCTGTCTAAAGGGGTTCTATCCTGTCTTTGGGCATATGAGTACCTCCCTTGGGACTGGCTGCTATCCAGGGATCCACATCCTACACCCCAGACTCCTTCAGCCCATGTACGAGAGGTTTGGGCTGGTTGGAGGCTGCCCAGAAAGCTCTGGCCCTGTGCCGCTCCTTAGACAGGGCCCCCTGTGGGTCCTATCCTCACTCTGCCACCTGCTAACCGGGTTACACCAGCCCCTCGCCTCCCTGCTCTGGCTCCATGGTGTCCTCCGCCGGGAGCGAGTCACAGAGGCCCGGCTGTCTCTTGGGGCTGTGACAAGGTTTCATGGAGTGCCTGTGGCTGGAGTGAGCGCCAATGGGTGGGGTAGAGATGGGGTGTCCGAGAGTCCTTGCCTGGGTTCCAGACAGATGCATCCCTGCGCTGACACAAGGCACTGTGAATCTGAGACTCGGGGGACTAGGGGACAAGATGGGGAAACTGAGGCTGAATGACTGGCTCCAGTCACAGGTTGAAGTGGCAACCATATGAGAATTGAGTTTGGTGCTTACGGTGTTCCCAGTGTTTGGGGCATTCAGGGAGATTGGCACCCCCATTTTGCAGCTGAGGAATTTTAACCTCTCCAGGAGGTGGGGCCATCCTGATCACATGCGCCCTGCTGCCCTTGGCCCTCACTTGAGAGAGAGCTATGTCTCTGCTCTGTGTCCGGACCCCAGACTGCCTCTGACATGAAGTTCAGGGCTGGCCCAGGGCTCCGTGCAGCTGTGGGTAGTGGCAGTGGCAGCAGCAGGCTGCCTGGATGGCAGTGACTGTTTTGGAAATGGGGTCTGCAACTGGGGCCCACCTCGGCTCCAGGGGGTCTGAGCCCTGTGCTCTGGGCCATTCTCCCTCTGGCCACCCAGCCTGGCCCCTTCCAGGGGATCTGCCACCTGACTTCCTCCAGCCTCCTGAGGGCTTGGGGCCAAAATGAATTATTCTCTAGGCAGAGCAGGCCTGTCCAGCCTTGAGAAAAAGGGGCTGTGGGAAGGGAGGTGACTGTTTATTCCTGCTTTTGCCATTGCTGCCTTGGGCATCCATAACCGTCTCCAGGCAGGCTGGTCTCCTGAAGCCTCGCAGCCTTTCCCTGGGCCCCGGGCTTTGAGCCCCTCCGCTGCATCCACGCCCCCTACCCTCCTTGATGGGAGGGGGTGGATTCCAGTCCCAGCCCCCCGCAAGGCTACCTCACTTTCTTCCTGGCTCCCTCTCCTGCCTGGAGGCAGTGCTGCAGGAACAGCGTTCTTCCTCCGCCCTGGCTCTCTTGGGGGCTACAGCGGCCCCTCCCTGTCCCTCTGCTCCCACAGGGTATCTGCCACACAGCAGCCCTGATGCAGCCTGGCCCCACTTCCTCCACCTCTGCCTCCACAGGCCCATTTGCAGGGCTGGGGCTGGGGCGGGGGGACCCTCCCTGCTGCCTCCACAGCCGGTGGGATCGCATTCTCACCTCTTGCCTCTGGCCTGACTGTTGGTCCCACTGGACACTCGGCAGCTTCTTAGATGTAGCATCATTTGTGATTTTGGGGCATCTTGTGCACGCTATTTTCTTGCCTGAAACTGCCTTCCACCTCTCTGCCTGGCAGAGTCAGACTTGTCCTGGAAGCTCTAGCTGAGACTTCACCCCTCCCAGCCCCCGCTTCTCCTGCATGGCCTGGGCAGACTTGGGGGGCCCAGGACGGGTTGACTGCATGAATGAGCATTTAGGCTGCTGTCTGGGCTTTCCCCGGGTGTTAATGCTGCGAGCCTCGAGCCTCTTGCGGGGCCTAGTCTGGAAGCCTGGGGGCCCCCCTTTTCCTCTCAGGGTATCTGCTTCCTCCCCCAGGGTACAGGGCACAGAGGGCTGCCCACCCCACCTGGGGAAACTGAGACCTGCAGGCTCCAACCCCCGCTGGCTGAGCCGAGCCTCCCCAGTGAGCCAGGCCAGCCCTCCTTGTAAATGTGGGGAAGCAGAGGGTCCACGAAGCCCCAGCCTGATGGCATTGCCCTTATCCCCCTCCGCAGACTGACCCTGAGGGAGCTGTCAAGAGCAGCAGCGGCCTCAGACACACAGACTAATCCCCCGGCGAGCCAGGCCTGGCCCTGCTGCCCACTGTTGGCTCTTCAGATTGTGACTCTATCCCTCTTAATCTCTCCTTTGCACCCCTCTCTGGGCGGGCGCTGCCATCCTGGCCCATCCTCCTCCCTTGACTCTATTTCCTCTGATTAGGACCGAGGCTGGGGAAATGCAAGAGAGTGGCTCCTGTCCTCACGCACAGGACAAACAGGTCACTAGAGAAGATATGAGCAGAGTTGTGCCAGACACGCACCTCAATGTCCCCAAGGCTTTGGCTCACGTGTCTGGAGCCCTGGCAATGTGCCAGTGTGTGTGGGCAGGCGCCGGGTATGCCTCTCTACTGGCGGGGCCTCAGGGCAGGCAGGGGCATGGGGCTAAGACTTGGACCCAGGAGGTCCCAACTTCCCGGGAATCTGCCCCATTTTCCAGAGGAAGGGCCTGAGGCTCAGGGGAAGGGGCTCCCCAGGATCACACCCTCCCTGGGGGATCCCCACTGTCCCTGTGGCCCTGCAGGGAGTCCAGGCTTGGCTGGCAGCTGGGGCACTCCCTTCCAGCAACTGCGGAGCCTCCCCGCCTTCTCTGCGGCTGGTGGAGTTTATGAAATCTCCCCAGTGCCATAAATCATGTCAGGAGCTGCCTTCTGCGCTTTCTAGCAGGCAGTGAGCCACGAAGCAGGGGATGTCCCTGTCCTCTCACACCTGGGGGTCCTGGAGGCTGCACCCAGAGCTCCCCGGAGTCCTTGACTCTGCATGGCAGGTCTGGCCCAGAGAGGGGCAGGCTGGGTAGGTGCAGCAGGGGAAACTCCCAGGGCTCCTGACCCCGGCTCCCCACCTGCCCCTCGGAGGTCAGAGGCCTCTCCAAACCCCTCTCAGCAGGCCCAAGCCCTTCTCTGTCTGCAGAGGGTTGGCCACTGGGCCCGTGAACCTGCCAGGAGCTGCCAGGGCCTCACCTTGCCTAAAGGCTGGATGTTGGGGTGTGGGGGTGTGCCGGAGCAGAGGGAGCTGAAGTGGGAGGGCCATGCCTGCAACCGATGTGGGGCTAGCATTCCAGGCCCTCAGGCCTCATCCCGAGGGTGTCACTTGGTCACGTGACCGACTCCTTGCACCTCAGTTTCCTCATCTATAAAATGGGGTTTGCCTGAGGATTCTTAAGGTTTCTGTTGGTCATGGTGTGTGGCCCAGAATAGCGCCTGGTCAGTAAGATCTTTCAGCATTGCTGTTTGTTGTTCCACAGTCACTGGGTGGCCTCCTGGCACCAGGGCTGGCCCTGCGCACTGGGGTACAAATACACCCTACCCCTATCCCCTGGTATACATCCTCTGAGAACTCCAGTCCTATGCGGAAGACAGATGAGTTCCTGCCTGAATTTTGGCGGCAGCTGCATGGCACTCTGCTGTGGATGTGCCCATGTACTGAGTCCCCCACAGCTGGACACGAAGGCTATTCCCATTGTCTCACAGCTATTGCTGTAACTCAGTGGCTGCCCACAACCTCGCTATTCCCTTGGACTCAGTTCCCAGAGGTGAGGTTGCTGGCTCAAAGGGTCTGCATGTTTTCGAGGCTCTGCCTTCCAGAAAGGTTGTTGATAGGCAACTGGGGTGTTGGGAGTTCAGAGTGCTCAAAGGTTCAAAGTACTTTGAAACCTGAGAAGGGCCCTGTGGCCCTGGAGATGCAGCCTGGGTGGGGCCCAAGGCCAGAAGAATCTGAGTGTGGGACAGGAGGAAGAATGGGGGCGACCCTCACTGGGCCTTGGCAGAGTGCCCCAGGCTGGGCGTGGAGGATGCTTCTCCTAGGGCAAGTGCTTACATGGACCCTGAGTTCCAGGGGAGGTGGCTCGGGGTGGACGTTGAGGAGGAGGACAGTGAGTAGCATGAGAAATGAGGCTTTTTAAAAACATTTAGACAATATTTTTTTCTGATTTCAAAGGCTTGCGTGCTTGTAAAACTTTTGAGAAGTATAAAGGAGTAAAAAAGTCACCCATAATGGCACCACTCAGATAGAACCACTGTTAACATTTTGCTGTGTCTTCCAGGATTTTTTTATGCATTTATATATTTTATATATTTTTAAACAAAAATAGTATCATGCTATATACATTATTTTATAAGCTGCTTTTTCTCCCTATCACACAGTATGTCTTTCCTCATCAGTGCATATAGGTCTGCCTGAATTCTGACACAGGCCGCATGGCATTCTCTGCTGTGGACGTGCATATGTATTGAATCAGTCCCCCACAGGTGGACACGAAGGTTATTCCCATTGTCTCATGGCTGTTCTCGTAGCTCAGTGTCTGCCCGCAACCCTGCTGGTTTCCTTGGGCTCAGTTCCTGGAGGTGAGGTCGCTGGCTCAGAGGGTCTGCCTATTTTCGAGACTCTGCCTTCCAGAAAAGTCGTGCAGGCAGCTGACCCTCCCCACAGCCAGGGTGGTGAGGCACGTGGGCCGAGAGTGGCATAAGCCTGGGCTGTACCCCACTCTAATTCTCCCCCCTTCTCTCTCTCTCTCTAGGGCTGAACCCATCAGAACCACTGTCTTCCAGTACCCCGTGGGCTGGCCACCAGTCCAAGAGCTGCCCCCATCCCTGCGGGCACCCCCACCTGGGGGGTGGCCCCTGCAGCCCAGAGTCCAGTGGGGCTGAGCCCCTTGCCCCCGACTGACCCCCACGTGGTCACTTTTCTCATCAGTCACAAGCAGGAAGCCAAGCCCTGTTCCTGTGACGCCGCATGGAGGCTCTGAGACCATCTGCTGGCCTCACGGAGGCTCAGGACACGGCCGCAGCAAGGGTAGCCCTGGGTCTGCACCGGGCAGCTCCTGCCCGCTCTCCTCCACCTGCCTCCTCCTCCTCATCAAGATGGGGCAGAAAACTTCCAGATGTTTATAAAGAAAGTCTGTTGCCACAGCGGTCTGGCTGTGTTTCCCCATGCTGGGTGCTCTCAGCTCTGTTCTCTAGCCCCTGGCAGAGGTCGGGCAGGGCGGGAATGAGATGAGATTTTCCCCAGGTGACCCAGCTCACTCCCTCCTCCCTTGGGACCAGCAGAGGTTCAGCACAGCCAGGCAGAGGGTGTGCCAGGGTGGCTGTCCCCGTGGCCCAGTAAGAAGTGGCTCTAGGCCCAAGGAGCCCAAGGGCTCCATCTGCCATCCCCGCCCTGAAAGAATCCACAGCCCCCATGTCTGCCCATGCTGAGCTGCTGCCCAAGTGTTTTGGATGGCACAGCTGGGGCATGGGAGCGGGGTCTCCAGCCTTGAGGGCGTAGAGAAGTGAGAGGACACAGGAGGGCAGGCCCTGGGCTGAGAGAGTGGCCTGGCGCAGCCTCTTGGCACTGACTGTGCGGGGCTATGCCAGTTTCTTGGCCCAGGAGGTAGTACAGGGGCTCTCCTCAGGTTCAGCCCTGGAGGAGCCCCCTGGCCGGAGGCTGCTCAGAGCCTTCAGGCCCCAGCTCTGCCTCCTTCCTCAGCTGGACTACAGTTCTAGGCTCTAGGCTGGGGTGGTGGACGATGTGGCCTTGGTGGCCGGGCCCCTGGTGGGAGGCCCAGAAGGTGGGGGGCTGCAGGACCACCTCAGCTTCTGCCTGTCCTGAAAATCCCTGTGGAAGGAAGAACTGAGGCCAAGTCTCAAGCCCCTGAGCCTCGGGTTCCTCACCTATGAAATGGGCTGGCCCAGCAGATACATGGAAAAAGGGGGTCTGGGTTGGGGTCCAACAAGGGTCAGAGGAAGGGACCCAGGAGAAGACCAGGCCCTTCTCAGGCCATGCCAGGCAGCAGGGCCCAGGACACCCTGGCTTCCCACCCTCCCCAAGGAGAAGGCTTTCTGTCCCCTGTCCCCCCGCCCAGTGCCCTGGGCAAGCCTCAGGGACCAGGGCTGGGTTTGCTGTGTGGCCCCAGATAGGCTGCTGTCTCCAGGCACAGGGTGCCCCCTCCTGCCCAAGGGACCACAGCAGCGACTGGGTCCTGGGGGTTCTTGTGCAAATCCCTCCTTAATTTCCCAGGAGCCCCTGGATGGTAGGAAGAGTGAGTGCTCCTTACCGGCCAGGGTGGGGACAGGGTGGGGACAGGACACAGCCACCACCCGGCCCTCCACAGCCAGACCACAGCTCCAGGTGAGGCCTGCGGGTGGGTGGGGAGGGCTCGCCAGATAGCCAGGCCCTGAAGTACACGCAGATGGCGGCCCAGGGAGCCGGCCAAGGGAGGGGTCTGCAGGTGGCGGTGGTGTGGGGCGGGCCGCGGGCACCGCATGCGGTGGATGGGGCATCCAGGTGGCGTCTACTTCATGCCACTGCGCAGCACCTGGTTGGCCGCAATGAGCATGACACTGATGATGAAGGCGATGGCGAAGGCGCAGATGAGACTCTTGCGTACGCACGTCTGGCGGATCTGCTGGTTGGAGCAGGCTGTGGCCGCCCGCCGGGAGCACCAGGGAGACAGAAGAGGACATGGCAGCAATGGAATTAGGAGCTGCTTGCCCTTCAGTACATGGGCTCATCCCATGGGGTGCCCCAATGGGACAGAGGCTTGGGACAGGCAAGGCGGCCCCCAGTCCCCCTCTGCAGACACACCCCCCCACCGTGCATCCCCCTAGTCAAGCCATCGAGCCCACCCATGGGGTTCCAGGGCCAGTCACTCACTCTCCACGTCCACGGGGCACTCCTCGGCTGTGCCCAGGTGGCTCTCCTCCTCCGTCATGATGATGTTTTCTATGTCCTTCATGGACAGGTGCTCGCAGAAGGTGTCATAGAGCAGCCGCTTCAGCTCGTCCACCGTCAGCTTCTGCATGTCGCACTTGCAGAGGGGGAAAACACGGTGCTCTGACAGCCACCACAGCCCCCACCCAGCACCCCGTGGCCACACAGGCCCAGTGACAGGCCTCCAGATTCTGGGGGGCTGGAAAACACTAGCTCCATTCCCCCAGAGAGTCCTTGACCAACACCAGCCTTCCCAGGGAGCCTATGGCCCTCTGAGAGGTGAAATGTCCAGTGGACACAAGCCTGAAGTGGTCATCCCCCCTTTACAGTGCAGGCCCAGCCATTCACTGGCCGCAGAACAGCACTCCACAGTGTGCACAGCCCTGGGTCCCAACTAGCCAGGGCATACCTTCCAGAAGACAGTGTCAAAGTCGGTGCCATGGAACTTCTCGGGGATCCCTGACGTGGAGAGTTTGGGTCCCAGGAGGGTCACAAACTCCTCAAAGTCCACTTGACCGTCACCTGCAGGAGGCACAGGGCCAATCAATCAGTGGGTCGGGCCCAGAGGACCTGGGATGGAGTCTTGATATACCTTGGGGTACTGGGCGACCTTAGGCAGGTACCCACCTTCTCTGAGCCTTGAGTCAGTGTCAGGGGCATCTACCAAGTGCCAGGCTCTGGGCTGACGCTGAAGCCACCCAGTGTGATGAGGCCTTACAAGGGGAGGTGGAGGTAGACAGCAGGTGGGCCGTGACCCTCCTATTTCACCCAGAACCCTCCATTGCTCCCAGCACCCTGCAGCCATCCTGGGGTGGGCCGTCCTCTACCATATAGACAGGAACTGGAGCTCAGAGTGGGGCAACCTGCCCAGGCTGTCACCTGGCCTCTGGATGGAGAACAGGAGAAGGGCCCAGGCACGATAAAGAGGGGTCTTGGCATCACCATTCCTTCTTAGGAACTTTTCCTTAATAAAATGCCAGGTGGCAAACACAACTCATGTAGCGATTTTATCTCAGGTGGTGGGAACTGGAGTATTTACTGCACCCTTTTACTGCTCTGTACTTTAAAACTTGTCAACACAGAGTGAGAGGAGCCATCTCTGAGCCCTGCATGTGGCTGGGATTGTCACTACCTCTCTGGCCTCAATTCTCCAGGCTGAGAAATGGGGCCAGACTGGGCTGCAACCTGCCACGGACTTTGAGGGTGGGAGTCAGGGGAGCAAGAGACCCAATTTGGATGCAGCCTCAGCAGCTCAGGCCCCAGCCCCAGCCCCTGCCCCACCTCCAGGGCCCAGGTGCCAGGTGGGGAAACCGAGGTGGGAGGGTGCTCACCATCCATGTCCAGCCGCTGGATGATGACCTCCAGCTCCACCTCGTTGGGCATGTAACCCAGTGAGCGCATGGCTGTGCCCAGCTCCTGCTTGGAGATGAAGCCATTGCCATCACGGTCAAACACCTTGAAGGCCTCTCGGATCTCTGAGGAGAGAATGCAGCAGGCTGGGACTTCACCCTGGTCCCCAACAGACCCCCTTTCCAGACCCCCAGGATCACCGACCCCGCAGCCTGAGCATGGCTTTGAGAGCCCAACCCAGAGCCTGCAGATCTGGTGAGAGCATGGCCCGACGGTACACAAGGGTGCAGTATTCTGGGACTTCTGAGCAGGCTGAGCAGGGCAGCAAAGCAGGGCTAAGGGTCCCCCAGCAGTGACTTCTCGGAATCCGATTGTGCCAGGCTCTCACGGCCTCTGCTGGTGTGCTCACAACGACCCCATGTGGTGGGGACCACGTGCAGGGGAGGATGCTGGATCTCCCTGGCCCCCC